TCCAAGGAAACGCTGTCGTATATATCCATTGGCTCTACTCTTTATTGCCGGGAAATGACTGGGAAGATCAGGCCGATAACGTTGGATGCCAACAGTACACATGGGAAACACTCGGACCCCCAAGGCATGTGGTTATCCCACACTTCACTCATCGCTAAAGCCGCGGCTTTGGAATATCCACCATTTCTCGATACCGGATGAGAGGAACTTGGTGACTCGAGGCGCGAGCTCGAAGCCGACTTGGGCAGGCTCGAGCCCACCACGGAACGCCGCGCCACAAAGGCTCTGACAAATAGGTATTAGCAAAGTGAGCAAAGTGAAAGTAGCTACTTATCGTGGCTCGCAATGTTTACGACGGCAGAACTACAGTCAAAACAAGAAGGCCATTAAGAATGAATTTGTATAGTACCCGGCGCCTTGCGAATGGAGAAGGGAAAAGGGGTGATCAAGCTGGGGTCCTCCGAGGAAAGGATTCCGGCGCTGGTGCGGGGCAGGTTCTTCCGGTATCGTTGCCTTGCGGCGCCAACAGAGTACCTGCGCTGGTCTTGGCAAAATTTGTCGCAGTTGATAGACTGAGGTAACTTCACGTCAGGGAATCCATTCGTCCGGCAAAAAATGAGAAACTTGTTTAGTGTACAAGATAAAGAGTGACCGCGCCAGAGTAGTGTAACAGCGACGAGGAATCAGAAGGGGTAGTATAGAGTGGAGAAGTCGAACCAACAGCCTACACACGCCGCGAGACGCGGCATATGAACAAGAATGCCAACGGTTGTCAAAATGTTGTGTTGGGCGAATCGAGGTGGGAAAGGAAGCGTCCCAAGGTTTAAGGTCAGAGAAAAGAGATAAATACTCATCACTCCTTTTCCGCTCAGGCAAAGCCGGCCAGACCCGCCGTCTCGCGCACCTCGCCTGTCTTCGCCTGCACGCCGGTGAAGTAGTCCAGCGCACCATGTGCCTTCCTCTCGACCTCCTCCGCGCTCTTTACCTTGTGGCCGCTATCCTCCATCGCGCCCTTAAATCGCGCCCTAACGTCCCAGGACGCCAGCCGGAGGACTTTGCGCGTCTCCCGGCTGATCCGGTCCGCGTTCCACTCCACGAAGGTCTCCTCAGGGCGGCCCTCAACGTCCCTGAGCAGCTGGGCGCGAATGCGACGACCAACAGTCTTCGGTATAGCCTTGGGCAGCTCGAGGATGTAGTACGCGGTAGTGCCGACGACAGCCGTGCCAATAATGACGGCGGCCCACTTGCGAGCGCTCTCGTTGCCGATGAAGTCGGAGGCGCGGACAACGCCCTCGAAAAGTGCACGAATGCCGAGAGTCTGGCCACCGACCATGGTAAGCGCACTGATGCCGACCGAAGCGACACCAAGAGCGGTAATGCAAACGCCATCGCCCTCGATGCTCTTCGAGCCGTCGGTGAAGTGGACCAAAAACTGGTGCTCGGCGTCGAAGATGTCGAAGAAGGTCGTTTCGAGCATGTCTGAGCGATGCGCAAGACCGATACCGAGGCCATGAGTGCCGCCTGCAACGATGGCTCCCGACATGCGCCTCGACCTGCGCTTATTAGCCTTGTTGCGTATAGAAAACATCGCCTCGGGCATGAAGACACGGCGCGAGCGCTCGACACCCTCCGGTAAGTGCTCATCATCAAGGTCGGAAATCTTGTTGATGCCATTGCTGGTTGTGATGCGCGCCTCGTCCTCGGCAATCTTGACAGCGAGGTCGAGACTGACCAGCAAGGCCTTACGAACATCCTTGACATAGTCCCACAGGCCGAAGAAACCGGGGTAGGATGGGAGATGGAGTTCGGGCACGTTGACTCCGAGCTTGCCAGCACCAACACAGTCGAGCGCACCCATAAGGAGCTCCTTAGTGCGCATCCGCGCCCGACTGGCACCACAATCCTCTACGCCCTCAAGGCTCTCCTCCAGAGCATCATGGCTGTTCTTCATCTTCTCAAGGACCGGCCGCGAACGTTCGAGATCGGTACGCGCCTGGTCAAGCTCGGCCTGGGCTACGATAGCGTTGGCGCCCACAAGAAGGTCGACGTCAGAAAGAAGATGGCCAAGGTACGTAGCGGCCGGGTGGAGCTTAGATTTGTTGCGCTTCGTGAGGACGAAGGAGCGAAGGGAAGATTCGAGAGTGTTGAACGATGGGGTCTTAGTCTGAAGGGCTGCGGCAGAATCGACGAAGTGGACGAGGTCCTCGGCATCTTCGTATGTACTGGGGCTAAGCTGCCTGATCTGCTCGAGAACGAGCCTGCGGCACTTAGCCTTGTCCCTGATCTGGTCGTACTTGTTCACGACGATAAAGAGGTAAGCCTTCTCATTACTTGCGGTCCAGAGGAAGTCCTTCGCGGATAGAGTGAAGTGGTTCTCCGCTGAAACGACAAAGACGACAACATCAATCTCTTCCTGACGAGCGAAGACAGCGGTAGTCTTGACACTGTCACGGTTGAGACCTGGTGCGTCGATAAGGGAGATGTCGACGACACCGTTGTTAAGTAGCGACTCGGTCGAAGGCCGGGCGTCGGACAGGTAGACCCTGAGCATTTGCTGCTCATTTTCGTTTTCTGATACGAATTGCTCGAAGTCAGCAATGCTAGCCCGAGTGAAAGTCGAGTCGTTGTTGATGTCGTAGGCCACACCCTCCTTCAGGATGTGAACTTCTTCCTTACCACCGTTCTCTGTCGCATCGTGTACCTCGCAAAATGCGGTAGTGCATGGCTGCTGATCAACGGGCATGACAGTCCGCTTCAGCAGAGCATTGACGAGGGTCGATTTTCCGGCGTTCAAGTCGCCAGTGACCAGCACCTTGGAGGCAGTGTCTTGGACACGAAGGCGTAGCTTCTCAAGGTGCGTCATAGCTGAGGAGATGCGATCGTCGAGTAAGTTCGCGATGGAAGCTTTCTCAAGCTGAGTAACAAGGGACGCTGGTGAGGACGAGGAGCCGTGCGAGCCAAGCTTCAGATCGAGGCGGAAGACGTGGAAGTCGCTGGCCTCAGATGATGTGACAAGACGATCTTCGTCATTCTCTGCGTTCTCCTCCGGTACAGCGGTCTCGTCGGTGATAGTGGCAAGAGTGACAGAACGGGTGAGACCCTTCCTGGCCGAGCTCACCACAACTTCAGCTTGAAAGGAAGTGTCGTCCGCAAAAGAAAGCGAGCGTCGAGCACTCTTACGACGCGAGGTCTTTGAGACATCTTCGGCGTTCTTGGGCTTCTCCTCGACGTGATCCCGGAACTGAGGGTACCTAACCACCCAGGAGTGCTGGTTGAAGCTTCGCAGATTCTGCAGGATGACCTCAGAAGCATCTATACCATTGAGCAACCTGGTGCATGGTGAGAAAGCTCTTCCTCAGCAATCTTTTCGATGACATACCGCTCCTTCTGCTCAACATACGCGCCCTGCACATCTTCCACCTTCAAGTGCCCCTCCCCGCCCGCGGGCGCCTCCATAGGGGAGGGTGAAGCAACTTTTGACGATCCGGGGAAGTAAGACTGAGACATTGTGTAGTTCTCTGGCTGCTTTCCAAGCAGATTTAGCGTGTTGTGCAGCCGCTTAGCGGCGTACGCGTGCTCGTCGTCGTGGTTTGTGGAAGAGTTGTGTAAGCGCGCTTTGGCGTTCTGCTCCGTAGCTTTGCGCCGTTTTCCACCGACTTTTGCTTTTTCTTTCTCCTGGACGACCGCGAAAATAAACAACAGGCTATTAGCAACGTCAGATACCCTACAAAGCGTGCTCTGCGAAAATACTGGAACGCTGAAGAGTGACGGCTCGCAAGATCGCAAGGACGGCCATCTCTGATCTGACTCGGGCATACTGCGATAAGAAATGACGCGGGTCTCAAAGTTTGTTTGCTACCTCTCCTGAGTACTCTAATGTAGTGTAGGCATCTTTACACGCCTGAGGCAAGTTCAAAGCGGCAGAATTATTTGTAGTTGAATATATTCTTCGCCTTACGATTGTGAGAACGAGCCCAGCTCTGCTAGTGATGAATAGGACACCCGTGGACTGTCAGCTTGTTCAGCCTCAGGCTGACCCGCGATTTAACCTGAGATCGGCGCAGGCGAAGAGTGTACCTCGTCGATAAGTGTTGGCATGCGCTGGCACCCGAGGCTGAGGTCTGAGGCTGGAAGTTTAGACATCCCTATTGATAGTCTGCCACGACTGTACTGTAGCGTGAAATGTACAATCATGATCGCAGCCAACGACTCGTTTTGATATATGCCCAGCGTCCTGGTGCCCGCCCGAATAAACTGATGATTAATGTTGATTTTGGTGGCCATTTCGCTTGGTCTGTCGTCCGTGTCATCGCCCGTCGCCTGAAATCTCAGATCACATCACGTGATTTGGTTTGACCCCTCAGTGCGAAACGACATGGGCCTCCAAGTCGAGACCCTCCAACTCGTACAGAGGACGTTCGGGTAGGCAAAATCGTGGTTCACGGAGGCTCATATTAGGCCAGATCGCTGCGCTTAACCTGAGGTTACCTGGGCCTTGGCTCCGTATTAATTTTGTAAAATTTGACACGGTAGGCCCTCCTAATGTCAGAAACCAGTCCGGTCCTGCCCCTTAACCGTGGCGGACATGTCGGACACTGCAAACGCTTCCTGGCCGGCCTTCCCGCGGGTGCAGTCGAGGCAGACGCTTCGCGGTGCGTTATGAAGCCTCCGGTACACACATCATGCATTTATATCTCGGATGAACTAGAGTCGCCATAGGATTCTACTGTCTTGGTAGCTTGGATCTGCTCGGTACCCTGGAGACCAAGACAAGACCAGAGGAGCGTGCGGCATGGATAAGATGGATGTGGGAGCAGCAGAGTGGTAAGTGCTGTGCATGATGAGCGTGGATGCCGCTCACGAGTTGCAGTGTGCGGCTATGGCACTGGCTTTAAGGGCAGCAACTATATGACCATAGATATCCGCTCTCCACCATCTGTGAGTTCAGGAAGGCAAGACACAAGCAGTCACTCATCCTCTGTAGGCTCAGTACGCCGAGTACGATACCCCTAATCTGATCATGACATACACTTCCATCTTGTCCCTTGCCATCTTGCGCGACGACCTATCCAGGCTGGATCGCAAGGGTCTTGTTCAATTCGTACGGTCCTGCCAGCGAGAAGACGGAAGGTCAGCCTGATGTTGCTGTATACTGATCCTCGCCTAAAGAATTGCACAGCTTCTCCGCTCTGCCCAGCGGCGGCGAGACAGACCTGCGTTGTGTCTATTGCGCTTTCGCGATTAGTAGCATGCTCAACGACTGGACTGGTATTGACCTCAATCGGGCACTAGCGTATATCCGGCGATGTGAGGTGCGTTGAGAAGCAATTGTAGTTACCATGACTGCTGAGCTTTGATATAGGACTACGAAGGTGGTTATGGCCAACAGCCCTCTGACGAGGCCCTCGGCGGGACGACCTACTGTGCCCTCGCGTCCCTCTACCTTGCTCCTTCGAATGCGTCTGCGCAGCGTCTGATCGACTCTGCCTTCCGTGCACGCACGATTCGCTGGCTGCTACACAACCAGGCCGTGGACGGCGGTTTCTCAGGTCGCACGAACAAAATCTCGGACGCATGCTACTGTTTCTGGTGCGGTGCCTCGCTCGCCGTGCGTATCCCTTGACTCTCGCTTCCCTTGCTCACTAACATGAACATCTACAGATCCTCGGTGCCGGAGATCTCGTTGACAACGCTGCCCTCGTCGCATTCCTTGCCCGGTGTCAGTTCAGCATGGGCGGTCTCGCCAAGGCCCCCGAGAAGCCGGCAGGTGCATACTCGCCCATTGGCAGCTCCAGGCGTGTCGCTCTAATGACCGTCTACAGATCCGTATCACACATATATGGCCCTTGCAGCCGCCGCAGTGCTGCCGTCTCCGCATGTAAACGAGACCTGGACACTGTCCCGACTTGACGTGCTTTGGAACACGACTGAGGGGACGGCAGCCTGGCTGCGAAAGCACCTCACAGAAAAGGCTTAAGCAAATGTTAACCCGTACTACGGCAGGCTGTACGAATATTATGATACCCCTCCAGTTCACTGCAACGCTCTCTTGTGGACTCGCGCCTACATCACCAGTATCCATTGCAGCTTATATGGTTAACATACAGGCCAAAGGTCCAGGTCACCAACTGTGATGCGAGTGAGCGGCAACCGCCATATTTCACAGCTCGTGGGGGAGGGCTCACGATGTGAGCGCTGTGGTACCGACATCTTCGAATGATATGCAGCTGACTCCTGCAATCAACATCAGGGTGATTCATTTGATTATCTACCTTAGAACCATGGCATTTTGTTTTCGGATGTTCGAAGACGGGACTAACATGGTCATATTAAGGGGTATTCGGTGAACAAGTGCTCCCTGCATTTGACGGTACACAGCTATCCATACGTCCATCTTCAGTGTATCGCGCGCTGTCTCGACAGTGAGCTGCGCGCCCGCGCTCAACGAAAGGCCGAAGCAGCACTGCCACAAGCGCAGCCGTACTTACAGCTGGCAAGTCAAAGACCTTCGAGCGTCCATTTCATTGCTCGTCCCCTCGACGTCCCTTGCATTGTTGCTGTACTATGGCGTACTGGCAGTTGAACTTTTCCGCCTTTATACCTTCCGCTGAAGACTTGTGAGCGCCCCGGCTCTAATGGCCTTTCGCACAAACTGACAGTCTTTGCGAGGTATCTGGCATGGTTCTGCCAAGCAGCAGGCCTTAGTAGGTATTTATACGTTGTACGCATCTCCGACTGCTCTACTAATCATAGCTCTGTCAGCCTTGCTCGTCTACAATTGGGTACTCACGTTCGGTGAAGAAATGCACCTCATATGGCGCACCCATGCATACGAAGCCATCTTCACAGCAAGGTTTTTCTTCGGGACCGCTCGATACTTTCCAATTTTTGCAAGCGTGATAGCTACCATTGTATCTGGGATGCCACAGAGTAATAGAGTATGCCTCACTCCCTAAAATTCACTGATGGGAGCTGACCGTATCGGTAGAGGTCAGCAGAAACTGTGCAGAGACCATTCACATCAGGCTTTCGTTAATTTGGACCGAATGGTTTAGCTGCACAGTCTTCACAATTGCGTACCAGATGTCCCGGCTAGCTGGCTTTCTCTTCTTGACAGGTGCGTTTCACCCCTTGACCCTCACAGATTCCAGCTCGCTAATCAAAATCAACCACGCAACAACATTTCAGCCGCGCTAGCTGTCCGTGCGTATGTATCTGCAAGGAGAACTCCCATAGTACCCGTGGTAATATCCCTCGTCGGCTGTGCGTCCACCATCATTAGCCTAGTAGGTAACGGCGACGGCGATTCCTTCGCGCAATTTATTCATTAGGCTCTAGTACCTCGGTGCACACTACGTGCCGCAGCCCCTCACGCAGCATGGCTGCTTCACAGCGAGCAATCTCAGCCTCGAGAAGTACATCCGTCGTGTACGTATTGCTCCTACGACTTCCCTCCTTTGCGGCTGACTACTGTCCTTGCAGAAGTTTTCTTGTAGCCATATTCGTCTCGTATTACAGCTCACGTGTCTACCACACAGTCTCTGAGACGGCAATCTTCCTCTCCATGTTCAATGATATCATCCTCATTGTCATCGTCCTCGTCACTGTGATTCCGCGCGCACGTGCCGAGCGGTTGTACCTCTTCTCAAGCCCTATTTGCAGCAAGTTCATTGAAACCAGTCGGTTCCCCGTGCCACCTCTGAGTTTCATGGGTAGTTGACATCTGATCACGCCAGGCACTCAGGACCTTGTGCTTCTGGTGTAAGTCAAGCGCGAATATTCGCTCGAGTGATGATTGATGCGTGCATAAGGGCACACTTCGCTGTGTCCACAGCCCAAGTTAAGCTCGCGCGAGCAAGCGTGGTACGTCTCCCCGTCGTCTCAAGACTGACTTTGCGCATAACTAAACTTGCGCATCGCTCAGCTGGAGCACACGCAGACGATACTGGACGCGTAAGTGCGCGCCCCATCGTGTGCCCCGTTTCTTGCCCAATGCTGAGCGTTTCTTAGGCTGAACTCCGTATTGGCGGGCAATATTTACCTCGAGATGCGCTCTATGCAGGAGGAGGGAAATGCGCAAGTGCTAGGCGTCTCAGATATGCACAATGGAGAATGGGACTAAGATTCGCCATGGCATCCTGCCTATGGGCTGGTGGGCGTTCAGCTGGAGATTCTGCCTGGCATCTTAGCTGTAGAAACTGTACTTCAACACCACTGCATGTTACATGATAACTTAAGCAATGATATGCACGCCTGCCAGTGATATAACCTATCGCTTTATGGTATCAAAAAGACTGGAACGATCCGCGCTGATTAGAGAAGAGGACGTGATGTTGCATACGCGGTACGACGCTACAATACCAGCCGTGATCTATTCGAGCCGCATGAGCGGACAAAACTTGATGCCAAATCGTATTTTCACCCGGGAAGGCCTCTAGTTTTAGAGGTCAAGAAGTCAAAGATTATAACCATAACCCTAAAAATTGTAATATCTGCCATAGGTCAGCGGTTTTGTATGCCTTGAATTACCCCCTGAAGTGGCTGAAGAGACTTAAAAATTCTACGTACATACATGATTACCTTTTATTGCACTCCAATGGTTCTATAGGTAACAGTGAGCTTCCACCCCAAGGCCTTGGTATTCCCTCGATATTGGAGTTCTCCGCGGTCTTTGCGACCAAGCAGGTTTCGTCCAAACTTGATATGAGCTACCAAGTGAAATGGTGAGAAGCGTCGAGGCATGGGAGTCCGAGGGTAGTCTCCTCGAACACATGCTTGCTAGGGCTCCTATATGTTACACGGCGACTCGGACAGCCTACTAGTAGAGGCTGCAGATGGATTGCGTAGTATTCCCTGTAATGGGCTTGAACAAGCCAAATCTGAGCTCTTGCTCCTCACGTCTCTAGACGAGGAAGCTGTGCTTGTGCCAGGCGGGGAGTGCAACTGGAGGGAGAGTCCAGAGTGTTCCCTGCGCCGTGTCTGCCTTGAAGCTGAAGCTTGAAGCTAAAGAACGATCCGGACCTCGGTATATAGACTGATATATTGGCAACTTCCAATGATGTTGCGGCACTTACCATGAAATTCGGTTCGTAGAGCACTGCCTGAAGCGTCTCCATCGCACCAGGCCTGTGCGTTTTGATTGAGTGTTTCATCCTGTCGACTTCCCTGTCTTGCGGTTAACTTCCTTAAGGACATCCTGTTGATCGTGCTGATCGCGCTGAAGGACCGGTCTGGCAATCTTTCATGGCACAGTGACATTGAAGATGTATTATCAAGAACAAGTGACGAAATACCAGCATCCGACAGCTTGCACCCTATGGGGTACGAATATAGCTAGCTATACTTGCAGCGGTGCTGGTTTTCGCTCGCGGACTCGTCAGATGGCCAGTCTAGGCATCGTAGAGAGAATAACATCTAGAACTACTAATGCACACGACACGCCAAAAGTCGACCCACCGAGGCTTGAAACATCGCGATACACTTCGGCTGTCGGGTGCGGGGCGATAGCATCCGTGACACGCGACAGTGGGTCTTCTACAGTCAGGTGAACAAATGCTTTGTGAACCTGATGCTCTATTCGGTCTGGACACTTGGGATGCCGAGGATGCCCGTGTTCCCTATCTTTTGGTGACATGCCACTTGTAGCAGAACCTTGGGCCTTTGTGATTCACCAGCTGGTATCTTTGCGCTGTTTTCGCTGCCACCAGAGAGGAAACATATATCTCTGGAGTCCGCTTGACTTCGTATCGGACCGGCAAGCATCCTACAGCATGGAATTCAAGGTTTGTGTGCTGCTTTCTACTGCATTTTGTGGGAGACCTGACTTGTGGTCGCCATGTTGACCGGGTCGACGAGGTCCCGAGGAGCAAAGGCAGCGCCTGCTTAGGTAATGCAACTATCAAAAACGTCATCGAGTCATCGGCGTCAAGGAGATGAAGCCTAGACAAGTGCACCTTATAAGCGTTGCAAGATATAAGTCGGTAAAACAAGTCCGTCTACCGTCCCATTCAACTCCCTTCCGCCCTCGCACCTTTTCGATGACGACGACAATGGCTATCCCTCACCTCGGCGGCAGCCGCCAACCCTCGCACTCGCCCATGCGTCCTGGCTCGGCGAGGACGTACGAGAACCCCATCGCACCCGTTGATGGTGTTCATCCAGTCTTGCACGAGGGCAAAGTCGCCGTCATCACAGGAGCAGGCAGCGGGATCGGTCGTGCGGCCGCGATTGAACTTGCCAGGTGAGTCGCTGTGGTATGGGACCCTTTCGAACGCGCTAATGAGTGGCGATCTGCAGGATTGGAATGAAGATCGCGATCGCGGATGTCAACGAGCCTGGTCTTCAGGAAACCGCGCAAGAGGTCGCAGCAATCATCGGTCAGGGCAATGTGCTGGCTGTGCCGACCGATGTCAGCAAGTTCGAGTCTGTGGTAGCGTTCCGTGAGAAGGTCTACGAGGCTTTCGGCGAGGTGCGTGCGCTACACATGATATCCAGAAATGGAGAGTTCCGTATCTATCTACGCCGCGGGCTTGCAATGTGGCGTCGATCCACTTCGAAGTTTCGTTCTCCCTGTCGATCCACCTCAAGGGGCATACGGATCGCTCTCCGCGATTAGGGTGATCCGCCGCGATGGCTACGCTTCGTTCCAGATCTTATTTGCGAGAATGCGAAGTCCTCTGCAGATCTCCTCGCACATGAATTTTTCCGTCACACGACATTCCCTGTCATGGCAGGATAACTGCTATACTCCTGCCCCTGGATCGTCTTTGTAATGGACTCTGCAACAAAGTGTCTTCATTTTCTACGATAAACTGTGCAAGGCTCTGCATCGACCTTGTGGAGAGGCTTGCATTTCCCAATTCTTACTGCACGCGATCACAGCATGAAGGCGTAGCTCACATCATCAATTGTTTCACAGGTAGCTGTACTCATGAACAACGCCGGTATCGGTCTCAGGGGCACCTCCTGGGAAGGTCTCGAAAACTGGCAGAAAATATTCGAAGTTAACGTCTTCGGGTATGCGCTGGCTTCGTTTCCGAAGCGCTCCTGGCTGCTAATGCTCCCGCGTCCTAGGATTGTGAATGTCCAGCATGCGTTCCTTCCCACCATGCTTCCTCAGGAAAACGCTGCGATGATTATCAACACCGGATCAAAGCAGGGTATTACGAACCCACCGTACGTTGATGCGCGCTTTGGCCAGCTGCCCATACCGATCTGATACCGGACTAGGGGCAACGCGGCGTATAATGCCTCGAAGGCCGCCGTCAAGTCGCTGACCGAAGGTTTGTCGCACGAGCTACGCAATTCAGGACAAGGCAACATCACCGCGCACCTTTTCGTGTACGTGCCGTTTTGAGTGTCCGTGTGACTGAGGCTTACATACTATACTCGTTGGCAGCCCTGGATGGACGCACACCGGCATGACGAAGGGTAACTTGACCGAGAAACCTGCAGGCGCGTGGACAGCGCAGGAGACTGTGCTTTACATGGTATGCTGTCCCCCACGCTTTGAATCCACAACTTCTGTCCCCTTGTCCATCTCCCTTGACGCCGACTGACTGCCCTGCAGCTCGACCGTGTGCGCGAAGGCAACTTCTACATTATCGTGCCCGACAACGAGACTCGGAAGGAGGTCGACCAGCTCCGGATGCTATGGGCCGCGGGTGACGTCGCCGAGGGCCGCCCTGCGCTCAGTCGCTGGCACAAGGACTACAAGGCGCTCTTCGAGGAGTACGTCCGCGACAACCTTGCGCAGCTTGACTAGACCGCAGCTGGAGGTTGTGGCATAGTGCGATGTATGTACCTGTCAAGGGGTGGATCCAAAGGAGAAGAAGAAGAAAGAAAGGTAAATCTTGTGGACTAGAGTGTACTATCTTTAAAGGAAAACCTGGTATAAACGAGTCTGGAATCTACGTCTGGTGTTTGTCAGGTCTCACCATCTGCCGAAAGTACGTCCACGGATTATGCAGTCTACTCGCTTAGCCGCTTTCTTCATCAGCATGGGCTGCCTTATTTGAATCCGGCACCGCACAGCGATATGTACATGGGCACGAAATATTCAGATTGTCGTGACTTCGGCAGAGCGGCGACCCTTCAAAGCTTCATGTCTGGCATCGTCACACGCTTATTAGTGTTATGTAATGAATGAGTAATCGATTAGTTCATCTATTTCTTGAGTTTCTATCTCGTGTCATTCTCACGGTTATATCAAGCCTTTGCCTCCTTTCATTCACTTACTGATCCTGTCTTACTATCTCCTAATACTGCCACTCTTTCTATGCGTCCTCAAGCTTCAAGCTGGATGCGCTCCTGCCACGGGCACACAAGCTTGGAGTGAGCAATCTTTCGTCCGGGTTCGGTCCAGATACTTGGGACTAGTGCTGCCCGTTGACTGAGCTCTTCCTTGGAGGCGTGAGACGAGCCTGAACGATTACGGACGGAGCCGTACCAGAAGCTGAATTTAAGGCAAGTCTGCCCGACGTCTTCCGGGGATATTAGCTTACCTGTCTCTGTTCCAGGGTCCGGCTCATCCCTCAATATGCGCAGGGACACACCAGGAGTGAGGAACATACCATGTCACTTCATGGTCCTTTCCATCTTTCACGAAGGCGGCTACTCCACCCTGCGCCATAGCGAACGAGACTTCAAACTCGATTTGTACGAGGTATTCGCGGGATTACTCCTTCCTCTGTCGCCTTCGCTGCCTTCTACGACGGTGCCGAGAACGAGATAGAGCCGCGTGCGGTAGGAGTACCTGTTTACGCTCACTTACAATGCTGCTGCGCATACGCCGTCCTACCAGGTCCACGTAGAGCAGCAGCAGGAATAACGGTGGAGCAGCACGATTTCGAGGTGGGATAAGACAGTCAAGTCCTCCATCGACGGCGGTCGCAGAAAATGGCGTCCGAAGAGCCACGATAACACTGAGTCCGCGTAGCAGAGACGATAGTAGAGGTAACCATTGCATCTAGCACATATCACAAGTCAAGAAGGTTTACGTGAAAGGAGTGCTAGCGAAAGAGACATGGTAACTGACGTGATGTCGGGTATCAGTGGATATAAAGAGTCATACGACACATAGAAGAAGCGGATGCAAGGTTCGCTTGCGACCGAGAGCCGACAGCGTTCAGCCTGACGGATCGATGCGTCCGATGCCTATCACATAATGATACAGCAGCCCACGCGGTCAACAGTCCCGGTGACGGTAGTGCTGTTCTTCTTGCCTTTGGGCTGTTGCCAGTAGGAATCTAGAGGACAAGTTGCAACAAATATCAGCACAGAGACCACAGAAGCACAAATGAACGAACCTGCTGAGGAGGACGAGGCGGCCAGCGAAGGGTCACAGCATACTTGGCTCGGGACAGTTGAGCATGCCTGGGTGGGGAAATATGACGGGTTATTGTGAGAATGAGTCACAGGGGCCTCGTTGAATGTCGCAGGGGGGTACGACACTGCTGAATCACTGGGGACAAAGCTAGGATCAGGAAAGATTATATTTTTCGAGATGCTGAACAACTCACTATGGATTGGGCATTCCCAGGACATTCATGATGAAGGTATGAGGTGTGTGTCCACAGGTGTGCAAGGGCTTCGAGAACTGTTGTTAGCTTCTGGTTCGGTGTTCTTGGCTGATTTATATGCGTTTGGTTCCTGAACACCGCTGATGCATCGTTCCCTGTGAACGAGACGCATATTTGGGGCATTAGGCACTGCGCAGGCAGACAGCACAGGGCAATACGCGTTATTAGATCCTAGGAATTCGTTCTTCGGAAGCATATAGCGAATTTTTCTACGGAAGTACGTGTCAGACAATATAAGGCTCTTAGTATATCACATACGAAAGGCGAAACAGTATCTCCTTCAGCTTCATATGCTATAATTGGAGTTGCTGGTCTTTTCTCCCTGCTGCTATTTTCCCAGGCCAAGTGACAGCATACATAAAGATGCTCAAACTTGCAGGGTGGTACTGAAGGAGAACACAACACGTGCAGCTCGCTGGTTAACTTACAACATTCCTACGCGGATCTTAAATTCTTTGAGATTCAGAAAGACAAGATATGGACTCCGATGTTGCCCCTTTCCTGCTTTCAAGGTGCCATGTCATCATCCGCAGTACTTTGGGGATGCGACTCGCTTAGCGAGAGTGGCCTGAGCTGCGCCTGCATGCGGTCTGCGTACAGCCCTCAGTATTTATTCCAGTGCAGGGCTCCGCGAAATGACTTACCGCTTTGCTCCGCGGACGATGGGGCTGTGCGCCAAGCACAATAGAATCGAGATAAGCTGTAAGTCTAGCCCGGAGTGCCGTAAAACGTGTCACATTATAGGGTCCAGTTGGGTGATGGCGGCGGCAGTGTAAGAATGTTCAACGACGAAGCCTGGTGGTTGTTGTGGTTGGGCAACAGTGTTGAAAGCAGCGCCGGTAAGTGGCGGAAGAGAGGCGGAGAGGACCTCCGTGCGGCGAGCTGACCGCAGCCGAGACAACGCAGAAGGGCTGAATCACTGGCTATCTGTTGCGTTGACAGCGACGCCTCCGCAAAACGTGCATCTCCAATCCCAATCGTGAGCGTCGGGAGAGGATGGGAAGAGATGGAAAGGGAAGTGCACCGGAAGGAAACGCAGTTGAATAGCAGATGTTGGTCACAAGGACCTATGGAGGAGCTCTGGCCAATATTCGCGTGCTTTCCGGGACCACGTCGACGCAGCATGTTCTCAAAGTCAAGGTCAATCATGGAGCAAGCAAGAGAGTGGCGGACGCACTAAGGTTTGGCTGCAATTTTAGGAGATCCATGTAGACGTTCGCCGATGCTGTTCGATGCAGGAAGGTGATCGGTCGTCTTCGCCATTGGGCATGGCGTGGGCAGCAGGGCATCGGCTTGTATCAAAGTGGCCTAGTAGTTTACTCGTGTAGTGGCAAATAGAGAATTCGAGAGGATCGGTAAATTAGCCATAGTCAGGGAGCCATTGTTTGATTGACCGAGAAGTGGCGATTAAATGTTCATTGTGGACCCTGCGAGCCGCATGGGAGCTGGTTCTCTTAAGAATGGAGAGGGGTGAGCTGGGGTACAACCATCAGCGTGCGTGCCACGGAGGATGTGCTTGCGTTACCTACCAATAGCGGTCGTCATCGTGCTGAGGCGAACTTTTGGTGCTGGAGGCGCTCGCCCTTCCGCGTGCGCGGGGTGTATTGGGTCTAAATCCTCTTGTTCAGTCAGTGCTCGATGCAAACTCCAGACGAGTTGAAGTGACGACAGAACCGACTTTCTGCGGGGGACTGAAGCGTCATGGGACTGGAGCGATGCCGATAACTGCGAGCACAGTTGAAGAAGGCGTTCAGCAATAGGTACGGTACTACAGGGTGACTGATCAAGGATTAAGATAATTTATCCCTCATTTTGAGGAGTCGCAGGAGCCTAGGACGAAAATCTGCACCGACGTCGTCTTATCGCTCACCGCTGCCTCGGCAGGAGAGGGTGGGATCATTATGATTTCGCATCACGCCGCGTTGGACACAACTCAAATTAGACAATAATAAGCCACGCGTGTTTGGCGGCAGAGCAGCTTGTCTCGAACTCCCATGTTCCTCATAATCATGCTCTTCCAGTTACTCGTCGTTCAGTCCATGAAAGGAAGACATCAATATGAGGGCGGTGTAGAAGGGTTTTCAGCGCCAACACCAAGAACTTACATTTACCTTCTTTCCGCATGTACACAGATGGTGGACGGTGGCTTGACCAGGAAGACAGGACGTAGGTGACGCCGCAAGTGACGGAGTACCCCGCGACCTGAGGGCGGCAGGAACGCGCATGTAAATAGGGGCCCGCTGTGCGCGAGCGTGCCGAGTCATCGCCTGTCGGAGCGGCGCGCCATTCCCGAAGCCTGACGCCACTACTTCGTTTTCCATCGCATTCGCAGGTTCTTCCCCAATAGAGACCCTTTCGTTAACGTTTACCTTCACTTTCCGTACACATAGACCTCCGGCCGAGAGCACGGCAGCGGAGCAGCGCTCGCATGTATATTAAAGGCGACCTCCCGCCGTCGAATG